TGTCGCGCCGATTTACGATGTATCCTATGAATTTACCCGAGGTGACACCAAAGACACACCTATTCAGGTTTAGCTTCATATTGAATCTACGCAGGATTTCAAAAACTAAATTCAAGTCTTGTATTAAATCACATGAGAACTGGGTTTTGACGACCATGTCGTCTACATAACATTCTACTTTTTGGCCAATCAATGGTTCAAACAGTTTATTTACAAGTCTTTGAAAGGTCGCCCCGACATTTTTTAGCCCAAAAGGCATGACCTTGTAGCAGTACAGGCCAAGCTCGGTTATGAAGGTAGTTTTTTCTTCATCTGTCGGGTCCATCCTGATCTGATTGTAGCCCGAATAGGCGTCTAGAAAGCTTAGCAACTCGTGCCCCGAGGTCGCGTCCACTAGACGGTCGATTCTGGGGAGTGGGAAGCAGTCCTTTGGGCAAGCTTGGCCACCCAGCTCGGGAAGTGGACTTCCCTGATAAAATCGGCTGCAAAGAGCTTCTCGACCTCCTTGTCGACTGCCCTCCATCGCTCTGGGGCTAGGTTGTGTTTCTTCTGTCTAACGGGCCTAATTACAGGATCAGTATTATGCTTATGAGTTATGATGCTAGGGTCTATACCGGGCATTTCTGCCGCAGACCATGCAAAAACATCTAAATTTTCAAGTAAAAAGCATACCAGTTTAGATCGAGAGGTTCCTCAGTGGAAGCACCGATCTGAAGAGTTCGGGCTGGGTCCTCCGTCGAGGTTGGGATGGAGATGGTCTCTTCTGTGGGCGCAGCTCGCTCCTCGCTCTGCTCCGTAGGTCGCTCTAGTTCGAGGTCATCGGCCGACTTGGCTTTCCCTTTAAGGGCGGTGACGTAGCACTTGCGAGACTCAAGATGGTCACCTCATGCTATCCCAATTTCGAAGTCCGTGGGGAACTTCATGGCCAAGTAGTAGATGGACACCATAGCCTGTAAGGCATGGGTAATCGGCCGACCTACTATGGCGTTATATGGGGAGGGGGTTGCGACCACTAAGAAATCGTGGATGAGCCTCACTATGCTAGGCCAAGTGCCAACCTCCACAGGTATTGTAATCCTTCCTAAGGGCCTGACTTCCTCTCCATTGAAGCCTACCAGGGGAGTGTTCGCGGGCTTTAGGTCACTCTCCTGGAGCTGCATTTGGTCGAAGGCTGCTTTGAAGAGATGTTCGCTGAGTTGCCTGAGTCGACGAGGACGTGCTTGACTTCGAAGTCGTTGATCTTTACCTTTATGATGAGCGCGTCATCATGGGGGTAGTGGACCCCGCGCGCGTCATCTTCTGTGAAGAAGATGGAGTCTTCCAACCTTGGCTGCTTTGGGGGGTTTTGTTCTTCCCTGGCGGCTTCACGAGCTGCAGCTGAGGTACAGCCCGCCACAATCGAGCCTCCAACTATGACGTGGATGGTCCCCCGAACTAGTCTCTCTTCGGGGGGTTGCTTCTGCGGCTATTCCGCTTGCCTGCTGGAATCGGGAGCATCTCTACTCTGCTCCCCTTTCCGACCTGCTTTATTATTATTATTATTATTATTATTATTATTATTATTATTATTATTATTATTATTATTATTATTATTATTATTATTATTATTATTATTATTATTATTATTATTATTATTATTATTATTATTATTATTATTATTACTTTGTACAAAATTTCTCAAATATCCGTGACGGATGAGTTCTTCTATCTCATCGCGGAGATTTTTACAACTTTCAGTGCTATGACTGTGATCTTTATGAAAGCTACAATACAGATTTTTATTTCTAACATTAGGGTCCGCCTTCAGTCGAGATGGCCACTTCACGTACGGAGCGTCCTTGATCGCCATGAGGGGTGTATAGTCCCTTTCTACTGCTGGAGCTCGGAAAGGCTGATTTGGCTTTGCCCCCCGAGCTTGGTCCTTCTTCTTTCTATTGTCTCCCTGAGATGGGGGCTCTAGTTCCCTCTTCCTTTTCTCAAGGGCTTGCTCGCCCTTCTAGTTTATTTCCTCCTTCGTCCCTATGAATTGGTCTACGAGCTTGAGAAACTCGGTCACGATCTTGGGTTGATTGACAACTACGTGCCACTTGAACTCTTTGTGGGTGATACCTCGCTTGGCTGCGGTGAGGTGAACTACAGGATCCATGTCGGGTATCTGTAAACAAGCGTCGTTGAACCGCTTGATGTAACTCCGAATGAACTCCCCTTCCTTTTGAACTATGCCGATGAGGCTTTCTTGAGTTCTCACGCACCTTTTGCTGGTGACGAAGTGGGAGGTGAAAACTTGCACGAACTGCGCCCAGCTTCTTATCGAACCAGGTGCGAGGTTACGGTACCATGTGCGGGCTACCCCTTTGAAGGTGGTGGAAAAGGCCATGCACATGCAGGATTCACTGGCTCTTGCCAGATGCATCTGGGACTGGAAGGCGTCCACATGATCATTTGGATCGAAGGATCCGTCATACTTGTCCAGTGGCGGGAGCTTAAAGTCCCTTGGCATGGGGACAGCAAGGAGTTCTGGAGATAATGGGGAAGAAACTGAGAGGAGAGGGGTCGCTTTCACTTCACCCGAGCATACCTCCTCTTTTCCTTTGAGCTCGGGAGAGACTTGGGTAGCAGTTTGGCGAGCTCGCCGACGTCTTTGCTACTGCTTTGCTAGCTCGGCGTTGGTGCTTGATGCTTTAGTGTCGCCGAGCTCGATGGGCTCAGACTGCTGGTGGTGGCTCTGAACCGAAGGGCCCTGCCTATAGTCTGCGGCCAGAACCTCGAACGAGTTCTCTGAGAGCGGGAGCTTGAACCATGAAGGCCGGGGCGATACGGGCTTGGTTGGCTGGGAGGCCTCCCCCCGGTGAGGTCGTTCACTCCGGCGGGAGGGCTTGGTCTGCTTCGTGGCCGGATGCCGAGGGGTAAGCGACGGCTGGGCCTGAGGCAAAGTAGGAAACTGCTGTTGATACTGGTATTGGGAAACCTGGTGCCGCACTTGTTGTTGATAGAGTTGGAATTGTTGAAATTGTTGCATTTGAGCTTGCATGGCTCGCATACACTGCATTAAGTCCTCCAACTAGTTTAGGTTGACCGCTAGGGGCACAACCGAGGGTTCAGCAAAGGTTGTTCCAACTGTGGAAGGGAGTGGAGCGACTGCGGGTGCCATTGTGAGAGGCACGTTCAAACTGGGAACTCCGTCCATAGAGAGGGGGACGGTGAACGGCCCAATACAGACAGTAGGAAGTTGGGGCTGCTCCCCATAAGTGTTCTAGCTGACACCACGTCCGACGTTGCTGGAGGAAGCCATGAATGTCTAGTTTTCAGAAAAGGAAACTGTAAAAGCTTAGAAGAAGGCTTCTTGAAGCGTTTTCCACAGACAGCGCCAAATGATGCGGCACGATCCGGGCACTCCTAGCTGGCTACTGACTGGCTCCTAGCTGGAAACGGACGGCACCTGAGAGGAGGACGATGAAGGATTCCCGGGGGATTTGTCGGCGGGAATACTCCAAAGCTTAAGTTAGAACGCCGGGGGAGAAAGCAAAGAGTGTAAAGAGGCTAAGAGTGTAGGTCGCGCTGGATCACTAAGATCTCAAGATTAGCTCGAGAGCAAATAAGTTTCAGATAGAATCTCTGATGTTCGAGAAAGAGCTTCCCTTCAACTAGGGAGCTCTTATATAGGCGTTCTTGTCAAATCGGGCGTAACCGCCACTGGGCTTCTGTTGTAGCCGTTACCTACCAGGGCTGCGGAGGTGACCACTGCAGGGTACTACCCAATTAGATGGGTGACACGTCCCGGGAGGATAGGCACGCCACCATCTGTCGAGAGACGTGGGTACAGTCTGCCGAATGGATAGGGACTGCACCGTCAGTCAAGAGACGTGGCGTAGTCTGACGGGTATGGTCTTGTCAGATAGAAGCTTCCTTGAGAGCATCGCATTGCTTAGTCGCGAGCTACCTTGTCACGTAGCGAGCTCCCAGGGGTACTTCGAGGTGACCCTCATCGGGATTGCCTTTGGGGCAGTCTTTCTGCCTAAGTGTTGGAGTGAGTTAATTACCCTAGCTCACGGGTTGGGATAGTCTTGGAGTATTCCCTTTTGGTAGCTCGGGGGACCTCGAGCTCCCCCTACAGCGAGCTATGATGTAGCGAGCTGTCTTGCAGGCTCGTTACTTGGTCGCAGTCAGGCTGCGGTGCTGAGCTATTGCTCGTGCTGAGTCAGGTCCGCGTGTCATTGTCTCAAGGGGTCGAGTCAAATCATCCTCCATCATAGTGTATGGTTGATAGTGAAAATTAGATGACATTTGAAGAGCATTTGTGTCTTTTTACATTCTACTTAATGGCTAATTAAGGATAGGTACTATATTGATATTACCGCATTTTGAAAGTTCGGATTAGATTATCATATTTTGGAGTTCGGGGACTAAATTGTCACTCAAGCAAAAGGGTACTGATTGGGAATTTTCCCTTATCTAAACTAACAGGGCGAGTAAAGTTAAATGATGACCTGATTTGATTGGAGCCCTGGCTTTATCCAAGACCGGATCTGCTCCTCACATAAGGTGCCTCACACCAACCTCACAGGCACATCCCACCATGCATTGGGAACATCTTCCGTATTTATATGTTATTATTCACGAAAGATATTCCAAACGCATGGTTTTCAAAAGCAGACCGGACTGGGCAGTCGCATTGGAAAAACCGGGAACTGATCAGGTGACTGGTTCCGTTTTACCACAGAACCATTATTTCTCCCAAAACCATTGATTTGGTCAGCAAACCGTTGATCCAGGCATTTGAACCGCTCAACGGTTTGGCTGGTTTTTAATTTTTTTGTCAAATGGGTCATCCGTTCGGTTCGAACGATCGGACCATTTTACCTAGAAACCGGACCCTGACCGGTTCGTTGTCCGAATCGATTTTAAAAACCTTGGTGAGATGTGCATGTGAGGTCGGTGTGAGGCGCCTTGTGGGAGGAGCACATCCCAATTCGCTTTATCCAGTTTTGTAAACCCATGAAGCTTATACAGGGACCTGGACGGCTGGACCTAGAGACCGAAGGCAGACTGTCTTGCAGTGACTGAATCCCATTTCGACTGCTTCGTGTTCTTTGTGTGTTGTGCGCTGGGAGAGATATAGAGAGAACTCAGAGAAGAGATGGAGTGGTGGGTGTCGCAGCCAAAGATCGAGCTTCATGCCCACCTGAATGGATCCATCAGAGATTCTACATTGCTGTAAGCTTTTTCTATCTCCTCTCTTTCTTTGTTTATTGACCATTATGTCATCGTTATCTCTGTCTGTGATTGTCGCTCCTTACTGAGCTTTGGTGGGAATCTCCGTTCTGGGTCGGTGGATTTACTTGCAAGGATTCTATTTCCTCTCGAACTTCATCCTTTTTCTTTCTCGCGGGTGTTGACAGAATTTTAATTTTCTTTTTCATTTATAAAGATTTTAGTTGTAGTCCTTGAAAAGCTTCAGATTGTCATCTTAGATACTCTGTAATGGTGGGTCATGATTGGTTTGAGATATAATTGCTATACAGTGAACTTGCTAGAGTTCTGGGTGAAAAGGGCGTCATAGATTTTGCCGGTGTGGAACATGTCATCAAGAAAAGTATGTTTTCCTTTTCTTCATAAAATGAAAAGATGATATAATCAATTCTCCCGTGAGTTCTCTTAGAGGCGAATCTTATATAGCTTCACCTCAATTAATATCTGCTTGCAGATGGTCGCTCTCTGCCAGAATGTTTCAAGTTGTTTGATTTAATCCATGTACTCACTACTGACCACGCCACTGTCACCAGAATCACTAAAGAAGTATGTTCCCATGACAGTTCTGGACCTCTGGCGTTCTCTTTCTTTCCATCCAAGTCTTACACAAATTTGTTCTCTGTTTGTTCCCTGAAGCAGGTTGTTGAAGATTTTGCTGCTGAGAACGTTGTGTATTTGGAGCTGAGAACAACACCTAAGGTGCTTAGAAAGTGATTTAACCTGTTGCTGTTGCTCCTATTTATTTCCTGCGGTGATTGCAAGCGTTAATTAATGATGGAATAAGATAGCATTTGGTCTTTTTTTTTTTAATTTAAACAGAAGAATGAATCTATAGGGATGAGCAAGCGCACTTACATGGATGCAGTAATAAAGGGCTTAAAGGCTGTCGATACAGTAGATGTTGCTTTCACCCCTTCTCAAACAAGCCCAGAAAATTCAGTAACACTTATTAGCGATGCATGCAAAACAACCAAGAAAAAGATATATGTTCGACTTCTTCTCAGCATTGACCGGCGCGAAACCACTTCAGCTGCAATGGAGACTGTAAGTTATGTGGGAATTGTGAAGTTGTATATTGTGAAGCTGAAGTCAACGTTTACAATTTCAAGTGTGAGGAATAATTTGGCTCTTCAACAATGAAATATTTTGTAGGAAATTCCACATGAAATTTTGACATTGTTCAACTTTTCCTATTTGACAGAAGTATCAGGGAAAGTATAGTTTCTCGGTGGACTTCAGAAAATGTTAGTGCAGGCATGCTTAATGCTTAAAAAGAAAAAATACTACAAAGATAACCATATATAATGACTGACAAGTTTAAGGAACAAAAGTACTCAACAAGGGCTGCATAGGATACATTAACATTCAAAACTTATCAAGTCCTTGTTTTTTGTGATATTTCCTGAAATGTCAATATGTAAAATATTTTAACAAAAATATAGCAAACTTTTCATAAAAAATATGTAACTAGTGAGATTCCTTTGATAGATATTGCCGTCCCCCTTAAATGAGAAGTTTCATGAAAAAAAATCAGCAAATTTCAGGCACTGCAAACATGGCTGATATTGTGTTTATAACACTGTTCTTTGCTTTCTTCTTGTGTCAGGTTCAACTGGCACTGGAAATGAGGGATCTTGGGGTGGTCGGTATTGACCTTTCTGGCAATCCTGTTGTGGGTGAATGGTATTTCTTTACAACCTTGAAAATTGGAGAGAAGTAGAATGGTTAATCTTTAATAAATTATTGAAAGATTATATATATTTTTTGGCTTTCTATCTCAGGGAGACATACTTGCCTGCACTTAAATTCACAAAAGAACAAGGTCTTCATATTACTCTTCACTGTGGAGAGGTGTGTCAGGCTTCCAAGCATTCAGTTGCACTATTTATAATCTTCATATGACCAGACTTATACTAACTAGCTTATTGTTATATCTTAGTACATGTAGGTTCCCAATCGAAAGGAAATTCAAGCAATGCTGGATTTTCTTCCTCAGAGGATTGGCCACGCTTGTTGCCTTGAAGATGAGGAGTGGGAAAAATTAAAGTCATCTAAGATTCCGGTTTATTATTTATGCCCATTTCCCATTTTATATTTCTATTATAGTATAACTTGCCCGCGCAGGAAGATAGGAGAAGCTATTATTTCTATCCATCTCTTATACATGGGCACCTGTATTGTGTTTGTGTTTTTTGGCTGGTGGAGAGTTGTGGGTGTCTTGAACAATCAGCCTAGGCCAAAAATCTAATACTGCTAACCATGATAATTAGATAAAGCAAGGATGTCTCCTCCCTGTCCTCTTGTTCTGACATGTGGACAGTTTATCCATCTTCATGTTATATTATTTTTCACAATTATGCAGGTCGAAGTTTGTTTGACATCCAATATCATGACTCAAACCATCGCTTCTTTAGATGTTCACCATTTTGGTTAGCTCCTCTCTATCTGAATATTGAAAATTTTCAATTTTTAATGTCATACAAGGACAAAAAGCAAGAGGAAATCATTTTATTTCCAATTTTCCCCAACTTTGTAAAAAATTCCTTGGTGGTTGCACCATGTTCTTGCTTTACAATCTAGAAAACTAGAAATTTATATAATTTCTTTGTAACACAAGTGATTGTCGGTGCAGTTGATCTCTACAGTGTCAAGCATCCATTAGTCTTGTGTACTGATGATGCAGGGGTGTTCTCCACCAGTCTGTCCCATGAATACAGTGTAGCAGCATCTTCATTTGGTATGTATTATTTTCTAATGCATTGGAACCTATATACACTGATTTATAACTGCTCATTGTTTCCTCTTTTCCTCTTCTTTTTTGTCAATTATCTAGGTCTTGGCAAGTTGGAAATGTTTCAGCTGGCAAGGGGTGCTATTGATTTTGTATTTGCAGATGACAGTGTGAAAAAGGATCTAAGAGAAATCTTTGATTCAGCCAAGAGGAAACTTGGGCTATGACTTTATATGCATTTTGAAGCAATAAGAAGTATAACAATTGGTACTTGGTAGATTAGCTTCGTCGAAGGACTTGAACAGTTTAGTTTTGTCAGAATGTTGGCAGATTTCATTCATTCATGATTGGGTACCATATACCCATACTGGACAGAAATTACGCATTTGGTAGAAACAGTTTCACAGGTAGGCTTTCTTGGTATTTGATCTTTTGATGGCCTTCTCTTTCAATTTTTAGGGCATTCATATTACTAAAACAGAAGAAGGTTTGAACACAAGAAAATGTACCAAGATCGTATTCTACTAATATGAAGCATGTTTGATAACTGATCCATGTGCCCTTTGGGCTTTGGCATGCCCCCCATTCATTGGACTATCACTAGGTTGGCAACCTTTATTTGTTGATGATGCCACCTGGATGATCTTTTAAAATGATATTCAACAATATGATGAGATAGGGTTAGCTGAGTGCAATAGCTGTTCAGCAGGCTGTGGAACCAATAATAGCGCTGCACACCAGTAATAAAATACATGGGACCCACAAACATTTAACCCTCACTGTGGGCCCATGTATTTTAACACTGGCTTGGGGTGCTATCATTGGTTCCACAGCCTGCTACACAGCTAAAGCGTTCAGCTAATCCAAATTCCAATATGATCAAAATGAGAAAGTATTTGGTTTTAAAAACTGCCAGAGATTCATAAATTTATAGCAAAACAGTTGCTCTTTCCATATGCCACATGCCCAAAACTCCTGCTTTCTTATGATAGCTGTTGTGTCTAACTGTAGCAAAAAAATGGTCAAGCTTCATCTGCTGTGCTATTTGAAGTCCTCTGATTAGCATTTGTACTTTGGCCTTCCGCAAAAACAAATAGCCATCAGTACTACAAGCATATAATCCTGTACTAGCTCGCATTGTTTTGTCATTGAAAGAGCCATCAACATAGATTTTATAGTTATGTTGCTGGTGTTCAGAAGGGATCACAGATTAGTGGTACTGTGCTGGTCTCGGCATGCTTTCATTAGCATGCATATCAGTACTAGAAGCTGTCCATAAGCTTGTTGTAGATTTGATTTTAGTTAAACCTGAATTGGATTGATCTCCATTTGGTGAAAATTTTTATTATTGCAAGCCTCCCAGGTGAGTCTGCATGAGACCTTGAATTGCTCTAGAAAAGTCTTCCTCTATTTGATGTACAGGTTGTGAGTTGAGTCAATCATTGATGACCTGTTGAAGAGAAAAGTTTTTGCATATATCTGCTATCTGGGTTGAAGCCCAGGTCCATGTGAAGCCATATTGCATGGGCAATATGGAAATGCTTGAGGATTTGCTTTTGGGTTCATCGTCATACTCACAAAAAAACACATTGAGCCTCTGGTATGAGTCGCCTCCTTTTGAGAGCCTGACCAACAGGTAGAGCATTCCATAATATCTTCCATAAGAAAAGCTGGTATTTTGGAGGAATTAAGTAACAGATGAGCTTCCATACTGGGGAGACAGTTGATGTCGAGGCTTGCTGCTTTATAGCAGCCTTATATGCAGATTTAACAGAATGTTGTCGAAGACCCCAGATAACTGGGACCAACATTGAATAATGGGGCCCTTTTGTTTAAATTCCATGCATTTAAGTTATAGTGTTCTAATAGTTAAAAATTAATTTGACATATATATATATATGGTGAAGCATTGTCTTGTAGTTATTGCATGATCCCTAACCACATATGTATCTGATTATACATGCATTAGTGCATTACAATAATCAATGCGCCATGTCTGAACCCCTAGGCCCAGCATGGCCCACAGGTGGCCTAGCCTGGCCCGTTTTACACCTTGATTTTTTTGGGTAAATTACAGATAGGTATCTTGTACCTTGGGGGTAGTGACATATAAAAGTTTCAAATTTTCAAGTGCAACACTTGAATACTATGAACTTTCAAAAATAGACACTTAGGTCCATCCATTAGTATTCCCTCAGTTAGACATTATATAATATCAAAACTACCCCATTCTACCTACCTATAATTTACCCTTTTTTGGGACAAAAGAGGAAAATAAACAAACAAATAAACTACTTGATACTGTTTCCCACGTTCATATACCCTTCTAAAGGAGCATTTTCTTTGATACCAACCAAAGGCGAGGAGTACTGGACAAATGGCCAGTTAACCGGTTTGGTAGCTGAGATGTTTTCTCTGTCCAAATTAAGTTTCATTTCTAATGGTTTGAGGCATTGAGCCATGACAATCAGGCCATGCATCTTCTGATGTCATTCTCAAGAAATGATGTGGCGTTTTAACCACATCCAAAATTGCATTTGAGCAAGTTCAAAGTATCGATACAGGCTGATACGGCGTAGGGCATACGAGTATTGGCCTGTATTGGTGTTTTTTTATGTTTTATTTATGTTTTTTTTCAAAATCGGTTCAGAGGGTTTGATTTAAGTCTCGGCTACCCTTTGAATCTTGCTTTTGATATTCCAGGTTAAACCTTAAATATCAAACACCAATTAGATTCAGATTTAGGTGGCATTCGGTAAATCATTTTGAAGTCTGAAAAGCAAAAAAAAAAAACTCTAAAAAATCTCTGAACATTTGAAAAAATTTTGCTTTTCTGCTTCTCAGATTTCGATTCCTCTATTGAGATGTACAGCCGAACACCACCGAGTGCTGAGAAAGCAAGTTTTTCAGCGTTCGGTGATGTATTCGGTGCTACCGAAAACAACCTTAATTTAAAAAAAAAGTTTTGAAACTTTAAATGTCCATTCACAGCACTGGTATGGACCAAAGAAACCCTAGAGGAACAATTAGAATGAGGGACATAAACAATATACCATGGATACCAGCAAGAAGGGAACTTTGTGTATCAGCCTACCACTACAGACCAAAAGTCAAAGCCAAATATGATAAGAAATTAGAACCTCATGTCAGTCACCTGTTCCAGACCCACGAGGAAGAGTGGAAGATGGACGACTAAATCAAATGGAGACCCACGGGGCAGTAAGCCTTGAGCTAATCGCCTAATCCCACTTCAGGCTAAGGCTATCTCTTGAACTGTGGAGTCTAACCACGACGGGCGTTTCTATAATTTTTTTCTCAACTTTTGAGGCAATTCTATTCCTCTATTCAATGTGATTACTTCACTTGTTGTTTCGTATAATTTAAGTAAAGAAAATGCCCTCTTCTAGAATCCTTTTTAAAATTACGTCTCTTGTTTTCCACCATGTAACTGTCTGTTGACAGGTGGTTGGTGTCTTCTGTAATTACAGTTTTTTTATTTAATAAATTTGGTTGAATTACTTGAATACCCTCGAACTCCCTAAAATCCATATATTGATCAAGAGTTCGTTTGGGAGGGCTTTTGGGTTGACTGAGCCACTTCCAAAAAGTTATTACTGAAAAATTGATTTTGCTGTTCATGTAAACTTGTTTTCAAATTTTCAGATTTTTATCAAATGTAGGATGATTTCATGGCGTTTCAAGTTTTTCGGTTCATGTAGGCACTAATTTCGAATTTCATGGCTAGTGATTATATTTAATTTCCTAATAAAAAGGAAATTGAATTGTTTACAGGTGAGTTTAAAACTTTAAATTAAATAGCTCCATGTTTGATTCTTTATTTTTAAATTGAAAAATAAAAACATAACATAACATCTTAAGGGGTTTGGGAAGCAATGTGAGAAGAGAGAGAGAACAAACTGCCATAGACAACTACATCTTACAGCTTGTTTTGTGAGGGCTTCTTCATTGGAGGCAAGGTGCGATGATTCAACCATGGTGGTTGAGCACCAGTGTTTCGGAGAAGCTACCTAGAATAGATTCTTATTTCAACCATGTTTCTGATGTCTAAAACACAATAATCAACTTATTGGATTTTCACCAAACACAATTTCTAGCATTCTTGTTGAGGCCCAGCTCCAAACACTAAAAACTATGTTCCGAAAACCCTCCCAAACAGACACTTAAATATATAATATCTATACTATATATAAAAGTGTAGATGTAATGTGAAGCTTTTTTTTTGATTAAAATTACCCTCTATTTTTTTGTTTGGAAAATATTATAAAAGTCATTTTATTATAGTCTTAATGGCTACTATAATGGCCATATTTGTGTATTTACTTAATCTCTAATTGTAAGGGTTGAAAATGTAACTTCAATTATTACTTTCTACCTCATTTAATCCCCTCTCATTAAATCTTATACGTAAGATATTAAATCTCACTTTCTCTTATTAAATCCTATGTTTTTAAGAGATTTTTCACTAATAAATGCTAGTAATTAGATTTATGCTAATATTTTTAACAATATAAACCCATGTATTTTAAAACTGACTCAAAAACAAAATCATTCTTTATCCAAGTGGTGGTTAAGCAATTTAACCATCCAAATCAAATTGATCAACCTATGGAGTCATAGTTAGGTAATAAAATGTTTAAAATAGAAATAAATAAAAAATTTTACAAAATAATGTAGAAAAAATTAAACACATTTATGATATTTTTGTTAATCAAATTAAAAAATAAGTGTAATAAAAAAGAATTATATTATTGATAATGGAAATGAAATGCATAATTTAGAATTAACCAAAAATGAAATATAAAAATAATAATAAATAGTTTAACTTTTGGGTTAAATGTGTTAATCTTTAATATCATAAACAAATAATAAAAATTAATAAAATATAAAAATTCAAAAACAAAAAACACATAAATTTTGCAAAACAAAACATTTAAGCACATGTATAATATCATGTATTTATCATATTAAACAAAAAGTAAGTGCGACATATCAAAATTATTTTTACACACAAAAATACAAAAAAAAATATTATAGAAAAAATTGAACACATCTATAATTCTATATTTACACTACTATTAAAAATATAAATAAGATTGTATAAATTTCTTTTGACTAAAGTCAAGGTTTTAACAACCGACCCATAAATGGAACCGCTTTGGCTTTCAATTTTCTAGTCAATGGTTCAATTGTCTTGTTTGAGCAAGTCAAACCAATATGATGTAAAATATAATGTAACTTTTTATTTTAAATGTTAGATTAGGATTAGGTTAAAAGTCCATTGTATATATACATTGTTATGAAAGGGGAGTATGAGACTTTGAGAAGGAAGTGCTAAAGCTGAGAAGTGAAAAAAAAAAAGAAAGAGAAGAAAAATAAGAAAAGAAGGGAGCATCATTAGAGGTGGTTGTCACCATGTTCACTGATCGTTGTTGCAAAACCGTTTTGCCTTGAGAAGAAGAAGAAGAAGAAGGAACTGCCATTGATGACTATCTTTATATTCATCACCACCACTGCTACAACACCATTTGCCTTTTCCTTACATCTCTCTAATTTATCTAAATCTCTCTCGGATCTCATATTATTTGCTTCATTGGTGTATCTCAGATTTTAAGATAAGATAAGTGTATAATCTCTCATCTCTTGCATCAAAATTTTGATTTCTTTATTGGAGTTGCAAATTTTCTTTTTTTTTTCTTTTTGGTTACAACTTAAAAAGAATCACATAAATGAGAAAACTCAAACTTAAAATGAAAAAAACTAAAAACCCTAACTAATTTTGGCCGTCGGGAATAATCGAACAAGTTCTTTTAATTTTTATTTTAAAATAAATAAAAAGTTTAGAATTAGTTTGAAAGCAACCCGAGAATGTTAATCGGGTTAAACATTTTAATAGTTAAATTATCTAGGTAAGCAGTTCTTTGACCATTTCAATGTTTTTTTCTTTTTTTTTTGTAAAATAATGGTTCAAGGGAAAAACATAATTGATGACCTGACCAGTTCCTAGTCCATATGGTTTGATCATCTGGCCTAGTCTGGTTTTTAAAAAAGTGACTAAAATAGTCATTTTTGAATTTAGTCCCTATTTAATTGTAAGGCTTAAATTGCAAATTGAACTACTACTTTTCACCTCATTTAATTCCCTTTATTTAAATCTTACATTTTTATGATAAATAAAAGATATACCAAAAAGATAAAACACTACAAAAAGAAGAGTCCAACCAAGCAGGTGGCTTGTCAATGATATTTGAAACTTCACAATTTGATTCGATTAACATATATTTAGATGAGGTGTTTATGTAATCAGATTTGGATTTTGCAATCTGCATCTAATTGATAATAATAAATAAAAAAATAAAAAATACATAAAGTTTATAAAAAAATTTGGATACATTATTACTATAATTATCTCTTGAATTGCCAAGTTTAAAGAACATGCACTTACTAGTAGATAGTAAGAGTATAGATTTTGCTTTGTTTGCTTGCTATACTATATAGGCTTGGTTTGGGAAGAGTTCACTCCCACGCATTTGTACTAATATATATATATATATATATATATATATATATATATATATATATATATAATTGCATTGCAAACAAAAGGAGCCTAACCAATTTTATCAAACGAAGATACAAATACAACATAAAAAGATGAAATAAAATTTCAACAAATATGGTTATTTAGGTTGCGTTTGGTAACATCATAGATACGCATCCATCCCAGCCCATTCTAGGATGGAACACATTAAATGACATACTTTTAAGGTGTGTTCTATAGTGTGGATGAGAAATTGGTGGGTGTGGATTGGTTCACAATCGATCATAAATGTCTAACTTTTACAATTTATATGATAAACAATTTGAGAAAAGGCTTTGGCAATTAAGTATTAAATAAAAAAATATTAATTTCAATAAAAAATGGTAATAAAATAATTTAAAAAATAAAAATATCATTTTATTGATACATATTAAAAAATAATATTTACACAAATAAAATAACAAACTATTGCAAAATAAGCATAGCATCAAACTATTTATGCAAACTAATAATCCATTGATTTCCATACTAGTTGTGGAGAATGCATGGAGGAGACTTTCCTTTGCAACGGAGCATAGTGGTAGAGGAGAGCTTTGGTGGTGGAGAATGCCCAAGTAATGTTCAATAGTAAAATGATGTAGGGTCTGGGAGGATGTGTGTGATGCATAATATCAAAAATTGGAGTGTGGACTAACCCCTTCTACGAGAAATTAGTGGTGTCGATATTTTGGGGTGTTGATAGGGCCGGTCCACGATATAGTGTGGAATGGTCCTGTCTACACCCAACCGAATAGCATGTTTACCCCGTGGCGTGGATCGAAACAGTCCATCCATGAGATGAACACGCTTCCAAACACAACCTTAATTCCATGGCACGTTGGAACACAAAATATTGTGCCATTCCAGCCACACCAATTTCTTGTGTTTTGGAATGAACCACACCCATGTTTAATATTTTATTTGCTTCTCAAGACTTCCACTTGTTTACTATTGGTTTGTTGCCCCCATTCTCTCTCTCTCTTGTAGATTTGTAACTTTATTATTTTTAATTAATTATTGCATTACCCTTTATACTTATATTATTTTTTATTATGTTTTATTAAATTTATATGGTTTTATTTAAATTTATAAAAAATATATTTTATATATTATATTATATATGAATTTATATATAATAAATTTAGTATATTTTATATACATTAATTTATTATATATAAAAGTTGAAAAGTATTTAGCTTTCTTTTTTTTGTATTTTAAAAAATTCAAGCGAAGTCAGATTAAATCCAAATCTGACCCGCGTCCATTAGGATTCAAAATTTGAATCCAATCTGTTTATAGCCCTACTTCAAACTATCACTTAGCCATGATTCTGGGTCCAATTCTACTAAAACCCGGGAATTGGTAAAAAATTGTTGGCCTAGTCAAAAATCGTATAACCCAGGTGATTGGATCGTTGACCTAACAACCCAATGATCGGGCCATAGGTTGCACATTAAATGTATATGTACAATTGTAGAGGCCATATCTTTGCGCTTTGATATCGATTATGATGATTGTTTTTATTTTGGGTAACGTTTTGAGATCTACATGTCCCAAGGTGCCTTGCCCCACTATTTTTGTGAAAAAAAACTCTTTTTTCCTCAAATTGCAATTTCAATATTTTTACAAATAAAAATTAAAAACTAAATTAAAACATACATTAAATATAAAAACTAAAAACTTCTTGAGAGGTGGCCATTGGAAGACATGGCTTATGTAGATGATTTGAGTGGGAATTCTAACAGTCATGATGTGAATGAAGAATGTGAAAACGTAAACATGGAAGCAAACATTCTTAGAGAGAAGATTGCGGATGAGATGTGGGCATGATACCAGATGTTTGACCCAACTGCTTAAAATCATCTATGTGCTTGTGTTAAACTTGGTTTTTTTTTTATTGGGAGAAACTTTATATACTTTTATAATATGCAATTGAAGCCATGATACTTTTATCAAGCACATTTAATTTTTAAGGGATTTTTGGACTGCAATTCCCCTCAGAAATCTTTTTTGCAGCTCCTCCTAGTCTATTAGTAGCCCCCCTATAAACCACATCTTGCTTGTGAATTTGGCATCAATCCACTGACAGGATTCAATCCACCCCTAGGAAATCCTAGCTCCACCTAGGGGTGGACTGAATCATAAAAACCCTTATTTTTAATTTGTCATTTGTGACATTTTCATGTGAATTATGTATTAATAAATTGATAAATAGAATAAAAAATTGTTAGCATAGATAGTGTAGATATGGCAAATTAAGACTTCATGTAAATCACAAATCACACACATGGTAAATTGCCTAGCCATGTGGTAGTCATTAGACCCGTTCACGGGCCATGCCAGACTGGGCTTTGTCATTGTACCAATAGAATACATTTAGGCCCAAACCTCGAGCCCGTCCCGACCATTGAGCCTAGGCCTTGAGCCCAAGCCCGATCCTCATACAAAGCCTGAAGCTTGGTCTTGAGCTTGAGTTTGACTAGAAATTTGAAAAGCATATTTTTTTCTTTATTTATTCAATAAAAAGTGTTTTATTTATATTAAAAGCCCTCAAAACCCAAAAATAATAATATATATTATATGTTATAATATATATATAATATATATTATTAAATAAAATATATTTTTTATTATGTAATATATATTATCAAGTTGTGCTCGAGCTTGGGCTGAACTTTTTTGAGAAAACCTTAGCCTATCTTGAGAAAAGGTTGAGCCTAGGGGTGAGTACTATTCGGTTAAAACCGAAAATTTTGGTTTTGGTTTTTTCGGTTTTTGGTTAAATCGGTTCGATTAATTCGGTTTTCAGTTTTTAGAATTAGAAATTTGGTTAACTGAATTAACCAAACTTTTTATTATTATATGTAATATATAATATGTAATAGATAATATATAATATATTATAGATTTATATATATGAATGTATAATATACTAAAATTTGATTTCATAATATATAATATATATTATATGTTATAATATATATAATAGAATATATATTATTAAAATTCGATTTAAATTGAAATAACCGAAAATTTCGATTTTTCTAAATTTTGGTTTCGAATTTAGAAACCCGGTACATTGATCATAAGGGCAGTTTTGTCATTTAAGTCCCACGTCTCCAGTAACCTCTTTTCTTCGTTGGCCCTGTACTAGAAAAGTCTGAAACCCGGAAAAGCCAAGCAAAAAAGGAAAAATAAAGGCGAGGAGCCGAGAGGCGAGACCGCGAGAGGGAGAGGGCGCTATACGTAATACTTTTCTTCTCCCGCCATTTATATCATTCTTCTATCAAAATCTCAACTGTAATCCCCACAATTCTCGAATCAAATTCACATCTACAAAACCCTAAGAATCACATAACAGTAAATCTAAATCCATACAGAAAGAAAAGCAGAGGAGTTTCACCAAGTGTTGTTTAGGGTGGATGAATATGGCATTTGATTGATATGTGTTTCATCTCACCCGCCGTTATTGACCTTTAATTCATACAGAACACTACTTGCAATTATTCTCCAGATTCATCAAACGACATCGTTTCGGCAGGACGCTAAAGATCTCATAAATATGTCATGGGGATTGGGATGGAAGCGTCCCTCTGAAATCTTCCACCTCACGTTGAATTACGGCGAGAATGATATTGTCGGCGATCCATCTCGGTTCTCTTCTTCCTCTTCTGCATCATTATCATCGTCTTCTTCTTCCGAAGAGGAGGTAGGATCTCGGATTGAGCTAGATTGGTCTGCAGGAGATGATGAAGACCAGGTCGCTCTTAGGCTTCAATCTCAGCTCATGGTTGCTCTTCCGCCGCCCCAGGAGTCCGTTGTTCTTCAGTTTCATCAGGAAGAAGAAAATGTAGGTGTCGATATGAAGGTCGTGAAGCGGAGAGAGCCTCTCCGAGTGATTACCATGTCCAAGACGGTTGGGTCGGGGCAGCAGAACGATGGGATCGGAGTTCTTACGCGGTTGCTGCGGTCCAATTTGGGGCCTTCTTCGGGAATCGAAGATGGTTCATGTGGTTATGCAGAGCACTGGAAGAATGTCACTGTACTACGCCTCTGTGGATGCAGTTTGTCAGTGAGTTAATCTCACCGGATCTCGCAATAAACGTGACAATTTTGATTTTCATTCTCTTCAATATGCAATTCGAAACTTCTTGCATTTTGAAGTCATGGTTTTTTGGTAGAGGAGAATATGAAACTTAATTGTTGTCTAGTTTCTTCTACTTTTGCTATATGGTTTTACCGATTTGACATTCAGTTTGATGGTTTTGCTTGAATTTTGCTGTTTTGATGTTCGGTTGTTTTGTTTTGGACTTTCGGCATACAATGAGGTTTAAAGTTCTAAACTAAGTGCTTCAGTCGATAATACTGAGGGTTTTCTTCTCGAAAACTTTCATGATTCATATGGTTAAATTTCTGTTATAAAATGTGGATGCAGTCTTCGAATGTTTCACTGCCCCTTTGGTGGCACCATCAATTGTTCCTTGATGTAAAAGGTTTAATCACTTTTACAATCATAGCCCCCCCCAACACACACACACAAATAAAAAAGGAAAAAGAAGAAGAAGAGGTGGATGCTTGAATGTTTCAATCCCACTGATTGTTTTTGGCAGGTTTAGTCAACGGTTCTTTTCTTTTTGGATGAGTAAGATGTGATCAAACCTATCAGCTTATGGTACTTTTTGTTTTTGAACCCTTAATCAGGTGCTGCCTGTAGAAATAACTCGACTTCCACTCCTTGAGAAGCTATATCTTGATAACAATAAGTTGCCACTTCTGCCACCAGAGCTTGGTGAAATGAAAAATTTAAAAGTTCTCAGAGTTGACTACAATATGCTGGTCTCTGTACCTGGTAAACATTTTTCTGATGTAAATGCTGCTTACTTTTCTACATGCATAAAATTTATCCATTTTCCTGATCCTATTTGATACCTACAAGCAGTAGAGCTCAGGCAATGTGTTGGACTGGTGGAATTATCATTGGAACACAACAAACTGGTCCGACCACTTCTTGATTTCAGGTCATTCAATTATCCATCAGCAGTTTCGATACAGCCTTATTTTTGTTTCTCTATATATTAGTTTAATGGTTCTTATAGGGTCAGGAATTTCCTATTTTTGCCTGATGTTTATCTTCAGTTTAATGGCAGGGCTATGGCTGAGCTACGTGTTCTTAGGCTATTTGGTAATCCCCTTGAATTCTTACCAGAAATCTTGCCCTTGCACAAACTCCGTCATTTGTCTCTTGCAAACATCCGGATTGAGGCTGATGATAATTTAAAATCTGTGAATGTGCAAATCGAGGTAATAGGTGATGCAGCATTACTAGTGAGACTTGCTTAGACTTCTTAAATTCTTCTTGATAAAAAAGTACTTTGATGGTTGCAGATGGAGAACAGTTCTTATTTTGTTGCATCAAGACACAAACTTAGTGCCTTCTTCTCTCTTATATTTCGCTTTTCCTCTTGTCATCACCCTTTACTAGCATCTGCTCTATCCAAAATTATGCAAGACCATGGAAACCGAATATTTGTTGGTAAAGATGAGAATGCAGTTCGGCAACTTATAAGTATGATAAGCAGTGACAATCGTCATGTGGTAGGTAGCTAGCCTTAAGCTCTAATCAGTTGGATCTGTCTTTATTCATCCTTTTATATATTGTATTGATTCACTCCTGGGTGGCTGATCTGTGGCAGGTTGAACAAGCATGCTTTGCTTTATCATCTCTTGCTGCAGATGTATCTGTAGCAATGCAATTGATGAAGTCTGACATCATGCAGCCCATTGAAATTGTCCTAAGGTCCATGATCCCAGAAGAAGTAATTTCTGTGTTGCAAGTTGTTGTCAATTTAGCCTTTACTTCTGATACTGTAGCTCAAAAGATGTTGACCAAGGATGTTTTGAAATCACTGAAAGTGCTTTGTGCTCATAAAAACATAGAGGCAAGTCTATTTTAATTATGTTTTAATCTTTGGTTCCTGTTTTCCTTGGATTTTTCACTCTTGTCTTATGCTATGCAATTAATCTCACATGGCAATTAATTTTCATGTGTTCAATGCATGCCATCACTCAATTTATAGCTTATATCTCTTATTTTCAATCATTATTTGTACATCTCTTGTTTTCCTTGGTCTCTCACTCTCATCCCATGCAACAAGACACTTCTTTTACCATAATTTGTCCATGCCACATGGGATTTATCCTTCATGTACATTCCGAGACCAGATTCAGTACTCACACCGTTCTCACAACACTTACAGCTGTGCAATTGGAATATCTCCATATATTTTTTCATCCATGGGGAGATGTTCCCAATGCAGGGCTGTAAGTGTTGTTAGTATGGTGTAAGTACAAATTTTGTGAGGACTGAATCCGGATTTGTACATCCCTCTCCCCTCTTTTGATCTATAAATGAAAGTCACCTTTTTCTCAAAAAAAAAGAAGAAACAAAAACATTTTCATGTGTTAAAGAATACCATACCTCAATTTATTATATACCTCTTGTTTTCTACCATTATTTGTATATAATGAAGATAATTTTTCATGTAGAGCAGCTTGTGCTAAGTGCACTTTTTACATATTGTATGCTTACATGAACTAAATTAGACACATATACTTAAACTTGTTAGAAACTGTTCAAGATTGTTTCCCTTTTGTTGTTTCCTAAAGCTTCTGTGTCATAATATGTATACATACCATTTTCCTCATTATGTATCTCTTATTACATGATTTTGTTATAATTATTCAACTGTTATTCTTCATCAGGTGCAAAGGTTAGCTCTTTTTGCTGTTGGTAACTTAGCCTTCTGTTTGGAGAATCGCCGCATTCTAGTTACTTCTGAAAGTTTGCGGGAGCTTCTAGTACGTTTAACAGTTACACCTGAGCCACGTGTGAATAAAGCTGCAGCCCGTGCTTTGGCTATTCTTGGTCTGTTTCTTGTATCTCACATCTCTTAGTGTTCCAAGTTACTTGGAATAGCCTAATATTGTTTGTTTCCTTCCCATTTAGGAGAGAATGAGATTCTGCGGCGAGCAATAAGAGCGAGGCAGATTGCAAAGCAAGGACTGCGCATACTTTCAATGGATGGGGGTGGCATGAAAGGTCTGGCAACTGTGCAAATTCTCAAACAAATTGAACAAGGAACTGGAAGGCGTATACATGAGATGTTTGACCTCATATGTGGGACATCCACTGGCGGCATGCTTGCTATTGCCCTTGGAATCAAACTGATGACATTGGACCAGTGTGAAGAAATATATAAGAACCTTGGTAGGGGCATTACATTGCACCATGGAATGTGGTTTGCTCATTTTTCTTTAACTACTTTCTGACATTCCAGGCATGTATTTCTAGGTAAACTTGTGTTTGCTGAGCCTATCCCAAAGGACAATGAAGCAGCAACTTGGAGAGAAAAGTTGGATCAGCTTTACAAAAGTTCATCACAGAGCTATAGAGTTGTTGTTCATGGATCAAAAGTATGGGCTATTTGTGTATTTCTTCTTTCTTGCACTTCCTAGGAACTCAATCATATACCTCTATTTTCTTATGCTTTAATAGGATTTTCTCTATGTTTGAAAATCCCATTATATTATCAGTTCTGAGGATTCAAACTGGATGATAGAGTGTCGTATTTCTCAAAAGAAAATTAGATATCCATCAAGAAACTGAAATTTGTCTTCTCCAATGGAAAATTAATTTATTTTATTTTCTCAGTGGTATTCTGCAAATCTGCAAGGGCTATGAGATTTTACATGATTTGGTACTTAATTGATGTCTCTTATTTTTTATTTTATTTTTTACAAGTTCCTTATGTTATATGTAAATAAAAAAGCTTGAGGTGTACAAGTTCTCCACGCCTGAAAATAGGTCATCTTACCATGAATTGTCTTACAGCACAGTGCAGATCAGTTTGAGAGATTGTTGAAGGAAATGTGTAAAGATGAAGATGGTGACCTTTTAATAGAATCAGCCTTAAAGGGCACCCCTAAAGTATTTGTTGTATCAACTTTGGTCAGCATGATGCCAGCACAGCCTTTTCTGTTCCGAAACTATCAGGTTCAAGCCATGATATTCTCAGTTCTTCCCCTTTTTCAAATTTATAAACTTTTTATACGTAAAGTTAGAAAGGGATTAACAGTTTCATCATTTTTAACTGTAGTATCCTGCTGGCACACCAGAGATAACTTTAGCAACAGGAGAAAGTCCAGCCATCAGTGGTATTGGAGTAGCTGCTACTGGAGCTCAAGTTGGGTTGAAGCGCAATGCTTTCATTGGAAGTTGTAGGTATCAAATATGGCAGGCTATAAGAGCATCATCTGCTGCTCCGTATTACCTTGATGATTTCTCTGATGGTATTTTCTTCACCTTTATACTGTTCACTTGCTCTGCTTATTTGCCTCCATGCCCCCAAAATATCCCCTGAACCTTTGTTTCACCGTGTTCATGAAAGTGTGTTATGTCCCAGAAACTTTACACACAATTTTCAGACTCACAGCAGAATTCACACAACTCGAACATCAACAAAGAAACTGGTATTCATTCAGATGAAAAGAAGAACATTAACAGTTGGTCGGTTCTTCAAGAGACCGCCGGCTTTCCCAATCACTCACAGTATTCTTCACTCTACAAAAGCCTACCTCCCCCATCCCCCAAAGCCCCTTCTTATACTCTTCTCACAGCATAACTGACTCCCTCAATAAATGCCCAACTGGCCAAGTTATAAATGCCCAACACTCTTCTTATTCCT